GTTTTTGGAAAACAAAATCTTGGTGATTTTGGTTCTTGTGAACAAATGCATCATGGGTAAACAAGTCAAATTGACTTCCTACTGGAATTCATAAATCCAAACAAATTTTGAAATACTTACATGCTGGTTTGTGGGGTCCTGCTACTATTTGTATACTGTCTATATTTAAATATTTTTTGTTGATCATTGATGATTATTCTTGAAAATTTTGGGTTTTTTTACTAAAAACTAAATATGAGACTTTCTCAATTTTCAAAAATTGGAAAACTCAAAATAAAAATCAGATAGAACATAAAATTAAATTTTTTAGGACTGACAATGGTTTGGAATTTTGTAATGATGAATTCAATAACTTGTGTAGAGATAATGGCATTATGAGACATAGAACTGTTACTTATACTCCTCAACAAAATGGAATAGCTGAAAGAATGAATAAGACTCTATTAAATAAAGTTAGATGCATACTGCTTGGATCTGGATTGCCTAAAATGTTTTTGGGGTGAAGCTATTAAAACTGCTGCATATTTAATTAATAGAAGTCCTACAAAAGCTTTGAATTTTGGTATGCCTGAATCTGTGTTGTCTGATGGTTCTGTGGATTATTCTCATTTAAAAGTATTTGGGTATGCTGCTTATGCTCACCAAAATGTTGGGAAATTGAAACTTAGATCCCTTAAATGTATTTTCTTAGGCTATGATGAACATGTTAAAAGATATAGATTGTGGGTTAAATATGAAAAGGGGTATAAAGTGATTGTTAAAAAGGATGTTGTTTTTAATGAATCTTTAATGCCATGTTCAGAAGGAAAATATAAGAGTTTGACAGATAAGGATTTTCAAATTGAGGTGGAGTCTCTTCATATTGAATCTGCAAATTCTGTACCTCTAGTAGATGGAACTCACACTCCAACTGAAATTGACATTGATCAAGAAATTGATCAAAATCCTGAATCTGATTCTGATGCTCTCCCTACTGATGAGTATCAACTCACAAGAGATA